CTGTTCCTGGCTTTCCTTAAAGACCTTCTGTGGTTTGAGAGCTCCTGAGTCCACCAGGGAGCAGAGAGCCTGACAGTTTTAACATTTATTGTGGCATGATAAGCAATATGAATGATTTTTTGAAAATCATCGATGATTGTAGTTAGCTCTTTGGTGTTTGTAATATCAGAGATAGGGCTACAATGCCAGTTTTGCTTTGTGTGGCTTTGAAATTGCTCCCAGTCAGTTTTCTGAACAATATGCACATTTTTTCTTACGCTTGTGATACTATACTCAGAGACGGGTAATTTATTTAACTCTTTTTTTTATCACTATTTCAAAGTTATATAGCAAATATTTTTCAATATCTATCGAAGGACGATAAGTAACAGGATTTTTGTGTGTTTTTACTCTAAAACTTATTTTTGGAATTCTATTGCTAAAATATTTAATATTTTTAGTAGTGTTATTATCTATGTAATTAAGTTTAGAAAAATTGTTTATAAGCTTTATAACTTGTTTTTTTAAACTATTCACAGGGTTATCAACAAGTAATGTATAATTTCCATTCTTAAAGATATCTAATATTATATTATTATAATGTGTTACGTTAAATAGACAACCAATAGCTGTTAAGACTGTGTATCTAAAAATAGAATATGTTTTTGGTGTTTTTGAAAAATTAAAAAACGAATTAAAAAGATTAGATATTATTTTAGTACCAAACCACACAAGAACCATAGCAAAATTGATTAACAGTAAACATGAAAATAATGAACATAATGATTTAGAAAAAGATAATGTAGTTTATTCATTAGATTGCAGTTGTTCACATAAAAAAAGATACATAGGGGAAACTGGAAGAAAATTAAAGACAAGGATTAAAGAACATATATATGCCATTAAAAATAATTTGATATCATCATCAGTGGCACAACATTGCAACACTGAAGGTTGTGAAATTTTAAAAGATAGTATCAAGTGTATTATGACAGAAAACAATCAACTAAAAAGAAGACTACAGGAACACCTAGAAATTCTGAAAATACAGGAAGACATCAGAATTAATAACAACGTGGGACTGAAGCTACATGAGGGGTGGATTGACATCGTTTTCACTTAACCTTGAAACAGATGCTGAACAGATGTGGGAGTATAGTCACATCACTTTGTAAAAATGCATTGTGACAGAGCAGTTGACTTCACAAAGTCTTATAGATCAGATATATTTTGTTTCTGTTAAAATCAGGAGACCAATTAGTTTTAATAAAAGTAAGTTCATTGTTAGCTTTCTTCCCTTTTTTTTGTGTGTTTTAATATACTTAACAATATTTATTATTAATAGTGTAACCGTCTACCAGAATTTGGAAAATGTAGGAGAAACTAAGACATTTACTGGACCCAGATAATATGTTATACCATATTGTCATTGTATTCTAATTTATACTTTAGTTTTTAGTGTATGGGTTACATTGAGAAATTGTAAATACAGTGCACTGCATATGTTGGTTCTCCTGTTGTATTGGCTGGTTATTGGTGTTGTATTTGTTACGTTGTTACGATGTGTATGTAAGCTAATGAAAGGTCCTTGTACCCAAAATGCATACTTACCTAAATTTGAATTGTAATTATTAAAGGTCAACCTTTTTTTTTTTTTTTTATAAAAGTTCTGGTTCTTCTTTCTTTCCTTGGTGTGATAAGCCCTGCAAATTGTTATACCCTATTTATTAGGTTATCTAATTATGTCTAATTTATAGTCGTGGGCAAAAAGCGTTGTTTATTATTATTGAATATTGATGTTGACCTTTTCTCATGTCCTGATCTATGTGGCAGTTTTCCATATGATTTTCTTTGTCTCTTTACAAATCCCTTTATTCCATTGTTCTATCCCAATGGCTCCCAATTAGTGGTATTAGTGCAATTAGTACCCCTGGGGGTACGTAAAATTGCATGAAGGGATACACGCGGCAATCTAAAATCGGTCGATTTAAAATTTAAATGCATGAGATGAAGCAATCAAAAAAATAATTGGTGGACCATCAAGAATTCAGCAATTTACAACATGGTGTCGAATGCACATATTCGTTTATTTATAACTAAAAATATTCTCGAAATTTCATCAAAAAAATGCATTTGTGACAATACCTAAATGAAACTCTTATGCAAGAAACAAAAATTGTACAATTAACACAATTTGTGTTAATTGTACAATTATCATTATTATCATGTCAGCGAAGCGCCAATAAAATATTTACTACCATTTTGCACAACATACCTCTAAAAGAGCAGATTTTCAGCCATGAAAAACATGAAAACTAAACATCACCACCGACTTCAACTTGAAGATGACTCAAGACTGAAGCTGACCAAAAAGCAGCCAGATTTTACAAAGTTGTGCAAAGAAAATTGTGCAAATTTCTCACATTAAAATTAAATAACCTTATGTTATTTTCATTATTATTAAAATTTTATTTTAAAGGTAATAAATGTAAAAAAAACTTATTCTATTTATCACTTGCTGTCTACCCACAGCTTCGCCAGCATTATATCAAATTTTTTCATGGAAGTAAGATATTTTCTCACAGTAAAATGTAGCCTATGTCCATCTCCAACATGTAGGCTATCTCTGTGCCAAATTTTATTAAAACCTGTTCAGCGGTTTAGATGTGAAAAGGTAACAGACAGACAGAAATTACCTACGAATTTATAATATTAGTCTGGATTAATATGAATTTCTACTATAAGGGGTATGCAAGTTTGAGCTCTTTCTTGAAGTGGTACGCAGGAAAAACTAATTGGGAACCACTGTTCTATCCAATTTTTGCAAACTTCTCCAGATTAGTTCTTTTGTTGTACAATGTTAAAGTGGACTCCTGCTGAGAGAGACTGGTTTGGAGAGTATGACAAAGGTAACCTGGGAAAAACTGACAGAGCAACTTTTTTGCTTTTTGGCTGAGACACAGAGCAGAAGTGGAAGGAGCTCTGGGAAGAAGGCATAGAGGATCTTTTGAAGATGACTCCAACAATTTGTTGAAGGAGGAGTGAGAAGAAATTGGCTCATTGAACGCGTCCAGATGAAGAGGTCTAGCGGGGAATATTCTGGAATGTGTCATACACAGGAGCTAAGTATATTACACCCCCTAATGGTGAGAAGTTTGTTTTTGTGTTTATCAAACTTTGTAATTATAATATTTGTTGTGTCACACACATTATTAATTGTATCATTGTTAGCTAATAGGATTAGGTCTGCAATAAATTTATTTTACTTAGTTTTAAATGTATATGATGATGTCTATAGTGAAGCTGAGTATTGTCTTACTGAAAGTGGCTGATAGTTTAAATCTTGTGACAACATTTGTACATTTTGGCATATTAAACTACTGTTTTATCATTAAAATAAGACTTTGTGTCACTGTTTCCACAGCCTCAACAAAACATTCACAAAATTTGAAATCTCACACCTAGTCTAGTTTCACCTAGAAACTCAAGGAAAGCAATAAGAAGTGATCTAGATCAATTAAAATGTCTAATTTGAGGATAAACTATTTAAAAAACCCCATATCTCAAGGATATGATTCAACCCCTCTACACAAAGTTCTTTTCTCCAAGACCTGTGCCTTCTCAAAAAGAGTTCTCCAGTAGGCCAGTATAAATATCCAAGTCTCATCCATTCAAAAGGAAACTCCATGCTCTACCAAACACGTTTCTCAACAATCCAATCACCAAAACTATCCATAGGACACTGCTGGTCAAATACAATCTGGGGCTCCATTCTTTGTGGAATTTGGAAACCTCTGTGAAACATTGAAATTGGACTATCAACTAAACTTCATGCTAAATAAGAAGATAGTGCAAAATGAAATTGTGAGCTGATGATTTGTCCTTAATAAACATATTTACAAGACAAGTTCAGTTTAATCTCCATGTCCATCCCAAATTCATGTGTGTCCATCTATCCTATCAGAATTCTGACCTATAGGTCTCTAAAAGAGAGGTGATCATATAGAAAGATGATAACTCAATCACTGTATAAGAAAGAAAATGCACTGTCTTTTGGCATTAAATTTATTTACTTGATAAATTAAATACATGTAAGTTCTTTTAACATTTCAAAATGTTATTCTCAAGTAAAGAAAGACTATTCCTTGAGAAGATAAACGTTAAAAGAAAAGTGACCTTACCTCAGCAATATCAAAAGCTTCTTCAATATATGAATTGACATTGTGATTTCTGCGAGTTATATAATGACACACAATACAGATTAGATAACATACAACACAATTATTTATTAACTCGCTAGTTCAAATACAGGATTTCATAAGATACCAACAATTCTAGTTGTCCCTTTTTCCGAACCGAACATCCGATTAACTAAAATTATCTTATTTAATACTAGGTTCCTATTTCTTCTCAAACTAATTGAATATAGCCAGCTTATTCGAAGATTTAGAAGGTGAAAGAAAAGAATAAGGAAAGAGGGTACCCAAAACTTGATGATGCAGGTTGAGGTGTGTGGGTTCGTGGATGAGGCTTCTCGTCGGTCAGGGGGGCTGATTCACTCAATTCTTGTTTCACACTGAGATATTAATCCAAAAGGGGCGATCCGTCTGGTTCCTCTCAGTCCAGTTCCTTTTTCTTTCTCTTGTTCTAAAGTCCTCTTTTTCTTCTCTCACCATACAATCAAACTTACAGAAAAGGCTTTCCTTTCGACCTCCTCTGTCCACTTCCTTTCTTCCAGTCCCCCTGTCCTTTCCTTTTTCCCTTCACTCCCATTCTGACCTCGTTTTTCTCCACCACTCACTCCCCTCGTTCTCCCCCTTCTTAACTCCCCCTCGTTCCTCCTCTCACCTTAGTCCACTCATATCCCCTCTCAAAAGCCTTCCATTCATTCCTTTTCTCTCAGTCCACCCACACACTAAAGTCAATGGGAAGACGATAAGATTATAGAAGAGTAAACAAATAGGACAGACAAAGGTGAAGTGAAGATATATATACATATATATATATACGGTTTNACATTGATTTCTATTCATTTTATATAGAAAATACAAACAGAAATATCCACAAGTTGTTGAATATAAACTCTGATGAACTATATCATTCCAATAACAATTTTTAGAATTTCGTTTTATAAATTTTATAATTTTTGGTTTTGTCGGTTTCATTCCATAGCTATCATAGTAAAAACAAGTTTTTTCCGTAAAGAACACCGATATCAAATGACTCCCTGGCTTATTTTTTTCATCTAAATTAATTATAAACGATTTACGATTAGCAATGCAAACGGGTAAATCATCAGATGCGAAAACACCTTCAAAAGTCCTTTTTATTTTTGAATCACTCGAAGCCAGTCTCCATAAAGTAATGGTATTCATTAATAGTCCACAAACACAGTTCTTGAATGGTCAATTTCTAAAGTATTATTATATTCCAGCAAACAAATAACGTTTACAGTTTCTAATATAGCGGTTGAAAATTTTAATTCCACTGAAATGTTTCCTTGTTGACTAACACTAATATGTGATTCTGATGCAGAATGATCAGGAGTAAGGTCAAAACAATATAAAGTATATCCATCTTTATAATCGTCATAAGATATATTTGTAAATTTATGATGGTTAATGCATCCTATATCTTCAAATAATGATATAAAATTTCTTGCATATATCTTATTCGTATAATCTGGAGTATATGGTTTTGGGGGAATCATTTGATTGTCTTTTAATAAACATATATAATTTAAATTGTAATTTTTAAAATTAAAAGGATTGTATTTTACATTTCCATTAAATGCTGAATTAGAAACTAAACCAATAGTAATTCTATAAGGTAACTGACCGATAACAGCATTTGATATATTTGTAGACTGAATTCCGCTACTTAAAGTAAAAACTTTAATATCTGTTCTGCGGAATGGAATTTTTATAATACCTGTTTGCAATGCTTTTTCAATTCCAATTTGAACTGACGAACTAACATCTACTTTATTAATTTTTAGAGATGCATTTTTAATAATAATTTTATAATTATCATTATTTGCCATTAAAGCAAAATTATCTTTCGATCTTTCTAATTTAATTCGTAAATCAACATTATTAATTAACAGTTTAGGTTGGTGTGATAAATCAATATGAAGCCGTCCGACTAAATCTATTAGTCTACTTTGTTTACTTATATTAAATCTTTTAGCCATTCCTTCATTATTTGCTTCTATGGAATCCATATGTTGTGCAGTATCTTTAAAAAATAACGCACTTGTTAAAAAAGTTTCTTGTGCTTCTTTTGAGTAAAATAATAAGGCCTCCAAAATTGCTCGGTATGGATAATTAACTTGTGAAATTATTTGTTTGTCGTTTAGAAATACGCTACATTGAGAGAACAAACTATTTAAAAAATAATTGACAGGAGCAACTTTTTCATCTGCAGCAGTATCTGTTCCGTTTTTCTTTACGATTTTTGCTTGAACATGTAGATAAATTGAATGCAGATCGATATAATTTTCACCAGAACCGGATACATAAAATTCTATTGGTGCTCGACTATCCGAAATGGTTGCAACAGGATGAACAATAACTTCTGATGTATTGTCAATAGCTAGTTGAGTCGAAACAGTACTGAATAAATCTAACTCGCTTTTGGTGCACGGACAAGAGTGTGGATCCATTTTCTCATTCACTAAAGATATCTTTTAGTTTTCGCCTTTTATTCTGCGACTGAATTAATCTTTTCACTCGTTTTCTTTTTATACCAGATCCACCTTGTACTTTTTTAATTACATCATCTTTAATTTCGGAACCAATATCTTTTAAATGTGATTTTGTAGATTCTTTAAATGATTTTCCACTAATTACATCTGATCCAACATTTGATGCAAAGTTTAACGCTTTTCGCCCTAGATATTTTCCTACTTTACTAAGAATAGGAATAGATTTACGAAATAAATCTCCAAAAAATCCATATCCTCGTTGTATTTGCTGTCCTGCAAAATAATTCCCTGTTCCTAATTGTCGTGTGAGAGGAAATCGTAACTCAGGTCTGAATATCGTTCCTCCTGCCTGATTACAGTAATTATTTATACAATCTTTAGGATCCAGCTTCATTTTGTACTTCTCGAAGATGAACTAACATTAGCAAATAAAATTAACCACTATTTATAATTGTTTAAAAGATAAAACTAATAATGTTTTGCCTCCAAAATAGACAATTTCTTTTCCACCAGCGGTTCTCAACTCGATTTCGATAGTATCGATATAATTTTTCTTCAAAGGAAAATATAAAGGTGAGGGATAAACTCTAACTATTTGATCGGTCTTTTCTCCTATAACTGGTATAACTCTTAGAAGAGGAGCTGTTATATCTCCAACGTGATGAGAAGCAACAATATTTGAATAGATGAAAATTTCTGAAATTCCCGCAGACAATTCGAGTGGATATTCACTTATATATTCACCCACTGAAAATTTCTGTGTTTTAAATCCTAATAAATCTTTTAATTCGTTTCCGAATTCAATCGTTATATTTTTAGGAACTTTTAAAATGATTTTGTTATTAGGCAGTAATCCTAATTTAATATATTTAAAAATTCCGAGAAATTTTTCAGCTGATGAATATAATCCGATAGGAATAAAAATTTTTTCCACTACATCAATTTCTTCAACAACTTTTTTATTTCTTTCTACTAAATTTATAAATTGATCTTTGTAAAATCTAGGATTTGATAGATATTCCTTAGTCTCTCCTCGCAATATTAAACTTGAACTCTGTTGTTTAAATATAATATCTGTGTTTGGTAAATTTAATAAATAAAGTAATTTGTGAGCATGGTCTTTTGTAACATACAACTCCAATCCCTCTTTCAAATTTAGTTTTACGTTTTTATAATCCTTGTCTGAAACAAATTCTACCGAGCTAGATCCTGTTAACAAAACTATATTCTTGTTTATCCAATCGAAAAGCGTCTCTCCTTGATTTTCATCACCTGTAGTTAATGAAATCACACATGTTTCATCACTTATTTTTTCTCTTATAATTTTATGCTTAGTAATAGTATAATCATTGTTATGATTAGATATGTTAAACCAGTTTCTAGGAATAATAACTTCGCTCAGACCAACTACCCATTTTCCACGTAAATCAATAGGAGGACTCATTTTCACAATGAAATGAGACTGCTTATTTTCAGGAAAAATAAATCCATGCTGGCATTGCTTATCAGAGTTACAAAAAAGTCTGACTGCATCATTCTGTAACCTTCTGTAATTCTTCTGTATAGAATCTTCCTTCCAAAAATTCGTTATTTAAATCTTTCAATATGTATGTTGGAGGATGAGATAAAAAACGATCTTTTTGCAAGCCCCATAATGGGCTTGCAAAAAGAGGCCGTCTTAGTACCCACAGGGCGGAAAGAGTAAAAAATAAAGAGAAGAAAAAAAAGTCTATGACCAGTAATAATCTGCCTTTCTAATATAAGAAGATAGTGTTGCTCTGATTCTCTAGCATTCATATCGCATTCTTCAAGTTCGAACAACAGAGATATTATCATTATTTTTAACCGATTGTAAACTCTTCCTATCTCTCTGGTTTTAAAGGTGTATTTTAGATAGGCTCGATTTTCGATAGGTTGTATTATGTACCTCGATTTATGTATCTCTTTGTTTTATTTCATTGATTAAACCCTTTTTGTTATTTGTTAACCTGTCTTATTCCTTCTGTTAGTTAAATACGGGCATTCAACCCGCTACTATCAGAACTTACTCGCGACTCTTCCCGCACGATAGAATATAGCCCTCCGTTACATTTTCCTTTTACATCCTCTTAATCCTTTTAAATAGAACGACTTTCTCCACTCTTTCTGAAGGATTTCATTACGTAGTAAATTTTTATTATACTGATTGACAGAATGATACTTACGTCGACGAATGATGTCACATTTTTAGATTTAATTCCCGTGGCTTTAAATCCTCGAATAGCACAACACAGTTAATTATAATTAAGACACGACGTTACGCGATTTTCAGTGAAGCTAATCACAAGCTATTAGGTATAAGTATACAAAAATAATATACCATTTTTAATGAATGCGTCAATATCAAAGGAATAGTCTCATTTGATTTCGCATTTTACTTTCCCGGTTGTTTTGTACACATAACGAGGAAAAAAATTGGAATCGTGCCAAAATCACCCTTCGAATTTTTTGCAAATCACTATGTTTTGAGACTTCCTAAACCCAAAATATTCTCTTAATTATACTTTCTATATTGATTGTCGTTTAATTTGATCTAATTATATTTCAACTATCCTGGCAAGTTTAAAATTGCACGTGTGAGCCATCTGCACACATATCCATACATACAGAAAATTCCACAAAATGTTTTGCATTTCTCAACGTTCTAAGCTGTCGTAAATACAAAAATGTAAAAATCACGTTGAAGTATATTTTTTACCATACGTTCTCTCTGTTATAACAACAGAAAAAGTGATATTTATACTACGTATTATTTATTTTTTCAACTGTAAAAATCTCGTTCGAAAGTTCTGCTCCGAAAGCGATCTGCAATTCACTTTCACCACAAATCTGCCGTGGTTAAGACAACAGCATTTGTTTCGGGAAAGTCGTGATAAGAAGGCAATTTGCCGATCGCTTTGAACTGTGGGAAAATACTTCATTTTGTCTCGCAATTCACACAATTTAAACATTTTTGCCGGGAATGTTTACACAATTTTCCTCATGCCCTCTCTTGTGGATTAATTTAATGAAGTGCATCGTATTACATTTAACTTGTGAATAATTTATAAGAAATCTTTAATTATAAGAAAATTAGAGGCATTCAATCAATTGTTGTAAACCAGGGTACGCCAAACTTTTTTATCAGTTAACCCCCAACAACTTTCCAAAACCTCGCATTGACCCACACCGTAAAGCTTTATTACAAGTGCAAGTGTATGAGCCAAGAAAAAAATTCCCTTGTGATTTCCTTATGGGCAAAAAAAAATGAAAAAAAATCGACCCTCCACATCGACCCCCCAATCGACCCCTTAGTTGCATCGACCCTCCAATAATGTTCCATCCACCCCTGGGGGTCGAAATCGACCACATTGGCGACCCATGTTGTAAACGAACAGGTATAAAAAAAATTCAATTAAGTTTTTCGACAGCGTAAAGATGACAAACAGAATTAGCAAAACACAATTAATCATTGCTCGTTCAGAATCAAATGTCCATGGAAAAATTTTAACAAGATGTATTTGAATGCAATTTGAAAGAGATTGTTCATTTATAAATTTCGATTGTCGTGCGTTTGTTTGTATGTGTAAATAAATGTTTGTTTATTACTCTGATTACTGTTCCTCCTTATTCTCCAGAATGGAGCTAAATATACTATAATGGAGAAAAGAAATACACAGCAAGAAGGAAGGAGGCCTCCATTAACTATATATTAACTTTCGGTTTGTAACAGAAAGTATAATAATTTGATTCAAATCTTTCCTCTAAAAGGAGTTAGACAGATGAGTGGCACCACATTTACAGGAATAGCATTATGTACAAAAAGATACACGATTAAATTATCATATATTTTAAGGTAAATAAATTTAAAATATGATTTAAAATTGCAACCCGGCAGTGTGACGATGTCGCAAGATAATAATTGCTCGTAATAACTTTTTATTTAGTCACTGGAAATTTTATGTCTGAAGAATTCGTCTGCATTATGTTCGTGTTGCAGATGTGTTACTACTGCTTGACTTTTGTATTGAAACTAGTTTAGTGGCTCATAACGTGTCAATGCGCTATGTTTACAAAAGACTTTTAAATGCCTTTTATAAGGTTAAAAATGTTTATACGTTTCAAGTGTTAAAAAAATTCGAACCTTTTGGAAGATGTAAAACGTTATGCAATTAAATCCAAATACAAAATTCGTGAAAAGCATTTCTACTGTTCTGTTGTAAGATAAATAAATACACTAAACGCTTTAAAATATAATTTTAATGAATTTATTACAAAAATTAGGGGGGGGCGCTGCTTGCTGTTGAGCATGTTGGTGAACTTTTTTGTGTGTTTCTTTTAAGCTTAAATTATGGAAAATATCGAGTTTTGGATTACGGTGTTTGAGTTGTTGTTATTTTTAGGCGGGATAGAATTAAATCCCGGTCTTGTTGATCGTACTCCGCCACAATCTCAGATTCAATCATCGGCATCCATAGCAAAACGACATCGATCTCCGAGTGAACCTTCATTGAAAACGGCGAGATTGGAAGATTTCTTCCCTTCAAGGTTAGGGTCAAGTAAGTCTATTCCTAGAGAGGTTATTTCATATTTGGAAGACCGATTTGATAAGCTTTTTTCGACGTTAAATGAGGTTGTTACGAAGATAGATTGGTTGGCTAATTTACATAATGATCATGACCGGCGTTTAACTTAGTTAGAAGTCAAACTAGGAGAGTTTTCTAAATTAAAAGACGATTTGCAACGGGAAAACAGTTTGATTTTACATTCTTTGGACAAGGTATCGAATGAAATGAGAAAGAAAAATATCTTAATTAAAGGTTTGACTGATGNTTTTTTTCCTTTTTCTCTAAATCTTTGGAATTTCTCCGTTAATTTATTTTATGGATTGTATGTACATTTATTAACATTATTTAATCAAATAGTCCCCATTGTAAGAAATTTAAATTTAAATCAATAAGCATTATTATTATTAT